CCTAAGCAGGTTCCATGCTCAGTATGGAGCCTGATGCAGGGCTCGGTTCCACGACCCTGGGATCATGACCTGAGCTGGAATCAAAGTCGGATGCTCAACCGACTGAGCCACCCAGAGGCCCCGTTGGTGTCCTGCTCGTTGCCTGCCTCCCTCTGCCCCTCCACATCCTTGCATAAAAGTGATTTCTTTAAGGGCAGAGATCTGTATTTGTTTCATTTGCTGGTGTGTGCTCCAAGCACCTAAAAAGAAGTGCCTGGCACATAGTAGGCCCAGATAAATGTTTGCCCAGGGAAGGTGGGCGCGAGCCATAGAGAGGCAGTACGGGCTGGGAGGTCAGTCGAGGTCATGCTTGGGAAGACACAGCCTGGGGCCAGCCTGCGTGAGTCTGGCAGGTGAGGGCGTGGGGGCAGCAGGGCCCTGGGTTTATTTACACCTGTCAGAGACCAAGTAGAAGTTGTCTTCCAGGGAGGGGCCCAGGAAGTTCCTCTCTCTTGTTGGAGCAGGAAAACACAGAACCTGCCATGGGGAAGGGGGGTGGGGGATTTTGGGAGAGAAAACCCCAGCCCTGTGTGAAGGGGCAGATTCGGGAAAGTCCACTCCAGTGGTGGCTCTGTCCTCTAGGGTGGGGCGGAGGGGAGGGAGAGGCGAGGGTCTCCAGCCCGGGGCGGCGGGGGGCACTGGGCAGCGGAATCCGGAGGGAAGCCTGGCTGAGGAGCGGATTGCAGGTCAGAACAGGATGGGCAGACGGAGGCCTCGAACGCCGACTCAGGTGCCCCAGGTGCGCTCAGCACAGAGAGCCCCAGGCACCGGGGGTGCGGTAGGGTGATGCGGCCACCGGCGTCCATCTGCGTGTACAGAGGAGACGGGGCTGGAGGTGGCCAGGAGCCACTTTCGGACCTTGGAAGGCAGGACACGTGGAGGTGAAGAGCCAGGTGGATCAGAGCCTGTGGCCCGATAGGCCCTGTGACTTTAGGCGAGAGCTAAGTCACCTCCCCTCCGTGAGCGTCGGTGTGGTGGGCGACGAGATGGGATAATAATATCCCCTAACCTGCTTGACTTTTCCTGTCTCCGTCGCCGAATCACTTCCTGATATGCCGCGTGACGTACCTGTTTCGTATGCTTGTCGCGTATGGTCTCTGTCTGCACTGTGCATTTTGTCCCGAGCACCTAGAGCAAGCCCAGGAGGTGCTCAGGGTGCGGGCGTCGAGTGACGGAGTGGGTGCCCACTTCCACAGGGGGGCTGCTGTCCCGACGCCTAGTGGAGACCCACGCCCACCGAGGGCTTGCTCTGTGCCGGGCTCTGCTCCAAGCCCTTGCCCGGCCTTAAGTCATTGTCTCCGTCTGCAGCTGGGATACGGAAGCTCACAGAGGTGACATCCCCTTCCCGGCAAGGCGCAGCTGCGGCGTGGAGGGCGGAGAGGCTGAACCCTCCCCGCCCTGTCTTACAGCGGAGGACAGGGGTCACGAGGGCCGGGGATCGCCGCGCTCAGGGCTGAACACGTGGCCGGCGGAGGGGCCAGGTTTCGAACCTCCAGAGCCAGTTTGCTAAGCCTCGTGCTTCCCTGAAGCAGATGCTTGGTGACTGCCTGTGGCATGAATGAGACCCAGGCGGGCAGCAAGCGGAGGTAGCCGGGTGACTGAGATCTTCCGTGATGCCAAGGTGCCTCTCGTGCCCTAAGTCGTGGCTTTAGAGTTTTCCTAACCACCACCTGCACCGCCTACCCCCTCACTTCCTCTTTTCTGGAGCCGCCTGAACTTCCTTCCTTGCCGCCAACTCAGCAACCTCCCACATGCCGCCCCT